ATTGGCATTTAGCTCGTAAATATATTGACATACTCAAGAATAGAATAGAATCAATTATGATCATAGCTCTTTTTAAATAACCATTTATTTTGGAAGTCAGTAGCAGTCGTTAGTAAGAGACTCATCCCAACGTTGAAAAGTGGAATTTTTACATCTGGTTTAGGGGCGTATTACTTTTGAATTTTCTGCAAAGTGGTAAAAATATGAATAACTCGAGATAGATGATGGGCTTCACTTAGCCCTGACCAGGATTTTAACTCACGACCTTTCAAGCTGCGGAGTTGAGCGTTTCGCTAACAGTCCCAACAAATGTATTCGAGAACCTTGTTCCCGGATTGGCTCTCCATGACTCCCCTCCAATGATCTTTACTCAACCGTGATTTCAAACTCCCAATATCCCAAGAGATTTTGTATAATTTACAAGGGCTCTTGGCACGTTAATGGGTAACACTGGCAAACGTAGGCATTTATAGTATTTGTAAAAAAAAGTAATTTCTATTAATGTTTGTCATGACGGAAAAATATCTATAAATATATGATTTGAAACATTTGTAATCAATACAGTTTATACTTCAATGGCTGAATCCCTTTGGGGCAAAACTTTAATTTTTCAGCTTATATTTGACAAAGGTTTAAATATTATTTCACAAACAAATGTTACTTTATTACTCAAAATTTGTAAATGTTGCTGGTGGAAAGTTGTCCATAAAAGCCTGTGGCTGGGATTGAAATAACGACGGTGCTGTTTTTCCACCTCACAGTCTTACATATGGAGTGAGTCTTTCAGAGACACTATTTAGGAGGCAACAGCGTTTATTCTACACTTTATGCAACACCGTTACACACGGGACTAAATACACCTATCTCTCACTCTTGTTACACATAGGACCACAATACACGTATCTCTCTCGCATACGGGATAACTATAATCGGGTCAGAACAGCCAACGTGCTGCCTGACCCACGATGTCGAAGACGGAGACGAAGACGTAGCACTTGGGTTCTACTTTACCTGCAGATAGCCCCGATATACGATCGGAGCTTCCCTTTTAATCTCCTCGGCGCGGCCTGGCTCCACCCTCGGCCGCGCCTACCTCTGGAATATTGCCGACGGTTCCAGGCTACATCACACCTGTTCCCTCTCTAGCTCCGCCCTTAACCACGCCCCTTTCGGGAACTCTCCAGACGTTTCTCAGCTACTCTTCCCGTGTCACCTCGTTCACCTTTGGCCCACATTCTTCACCCCGGCCCATCATATGCTTAACCCGGTGCCGGAGTGACTCGTCACCATATGCCCCCCTACCGCTAGCCGCCCACATCATACTACCCCAGTGACCCACTCTGTGGCGATTACCTGCGGCGCTGGTGGACGCTGCTATCCCCTACTCTGCCGGTAGGACTCACCTGGCTTCCTTCTGCTAGCACCCAGTACCATGCGCCTAGTGACCCACTGTATGGTACTGCACGGTGTGTTAGCCTCTGCACCCATTTCTATGGCACTTGGCGCTACGCCCTGTAGTGATCCATTTAACATCACTACATCACCTCCCCCCCCTTTATAAAACTCAGCCGTCCTGGCTGACCCCTATACCTTGCACAGCGGGACAAACCTCCGGAACACATCACAAAACAAATCGAAGCCCCTGCCTTGCAAGTCAATAGTAACCACAACAACTGGAAGACCTTATGCAATCAACAGTGACACAACAATTCGAAAGACCCCCTCGCAACGAACAGCAACAGCAATATGAACCCCCCCTCGCGAGCCAACAACCTGAACCAATAACAACAACAACACACAAAAAAATTCCGGCACACCGTAATGACCCACCCACAGACTATGTACCATACTGGATGACCGCCGACCCGCTGCCGCCCACGAACCCAGGTAGGACCCAGTTCAACCGGCAAACGCAGCCCGGCACATGGCTGCGGCCTCTTGACAGGCGTTTTGAAATAAATAGGATGACCGGGGTGGTCATGTAAACCTTACAGTTTTGGAACGGGTTCTCGTCGTCGGGCTCCCAGGTGGGACAAGGGCAGGATTGCCGGGGGCCCCGGGGACGATTTGAAGTCGCCCTAAAGGTCAGGGAGAGTAGGGGAAGCAGATGTCGGCCACTCCCTCCTTGTTGGATGGCTTTCTGATGGCGTGACAGACAGCTCCGTGGTCATCAAGTGCTGGATTCCTGTGGGCGGAGGAACAGAAATCCGCTGAGGCACAACCTCGGTGGTTGCACACCCGGGCTCGTCGGGCACATCAGACACCCGGCCTCGGGGCAGTGAGGATGAAACATCCGGACAAGGCGGAAAATGCGGTTTCAGTCGCAACGGGTGCCCATACCAACGTCTGCGACCGACCTGAATCTGAATGCATTGGAGTCTCTTGACCTCTATCACCTCGACCGGGCCCTGCCACGGTCTATGCAACTTAGGGGACATGCCCAAGGGCACCTGAGGTCAGTGCAGCCAAGCCCTCTCCCCGACGTTCTACAGCTTCTCTGACTCCCGGAGCCCCGCCAGTTTTTCGTTGGACGCTTGCCATTTAGCCGAATTCAGACAGGAGGCCTCTCGCGCCTCAATCAAACGTCTAAGCGTGAGGCGCATAAGTTCTGGCACAGCTATCTTTTTAGTAGATGAGTCAATATTCAACTGGGGGGTTAACACTCTCTCCCGTACATCAAAAAGAACGGGGAGAACCCGGCAGAGGCATGAGGGGCCATTCTATAGGCCGAGAGGATGCCCGGAACGTGTAACTCCCAGGCAGACTGTGCCTCATTGACCTGCTGGCACAACATGGCTGTGAGAGTCCTAGGCAGTCGTTCCACCATCTCGTCAGTCCGGGGGGAGGGGGGGGGGGGGGCGGTAGGACGTAGTCCCAATTTTCCTAGTACCCAATAGGTCGCACACATCCTTCAACAACTTGGAAGAAAAATTACGGCCTTGGTCCGTAAGGAGATTTTCCGGGGCCCCTTTGTCCAAGACATACCCATTAATGAAAGTGTCGGTAATGGACACAGCCAATTGATCCTGCAGGGGTCATGCAACAGCCCACCATGACAGGTATTCTACTCCTACAAGCAGAAATGTGTTTCCCCTTGGAGTGGAGGGAAACGGGCCAAGGATGTCGAGAGCGACAAGCTCGTTTATGCGCGACACCCCCAATAGACTGCAGCGGTGGTCGGCCCAGCCTTGGTGGGGGTTGTGGACGCGCACACTCCACACATCCTTGCAGGATGTTGTGGACGTCTTCAGACAGCCCGGGCAAGAAGAAGTCATGCTTCAAAGAAGACAATGTCTTCTGCACCCCAAGGTGCATTCGCCGCACATGGGCATCCCTCACGACTTTACCCCGCAGGACAGCTGGCACGATGATGCAATGGCGCTGCACTTCTGCATGCCACCTAATAAGCAGCCCATTCCTGATGACCACATAGAACATATCCCCTGGGCCCATTCTGCAGTTCGCTGTACCGACGCGGCGACGCATTTTCAAAAGGGAGGTGTCCTCAACCTGAAGGTGCCCTCTCTCGTCGAGTGCAAGACCGATGGTACTGTCACGCGCGACTGTCGCAAAGCATTCGCGTTACAGTGGCACAACCCCTTTCTGTAGGTGACTGCGAAGGAGCAATCCTGCAACACTTCTAACCAGCGCGAGAGCTGTCCCAATGGTTGATCAACTCGTAGCGCATATTGCAGAGCCGCGTTATCTGTGCGTACCACAAAATGTTTACCATATTGGTACGGCCGGTACTGCTGCACGAAGTTAACGATGGCGAGCAACTCTCGGGGCATAACACAATAATGCTGCTCTGCGGGAGACAACACCCGGCTCCTGTACGCGACCATGCTTTCTACTCCGTTCTCTACCTGCGATAGCATGGCGTCTATTCCGGTGTCGCTGGCGTCCGTGTCCAGCACAAATGGTACAGAGAAATCAGGGTAGCGAAGGGGAGGCTTATTTACGAGACCATTTCGCAACCCAACAAAAGCAGCCTCCTCTCCCCGCCAAACGTCAGCCTCGAAACCTTAATGACTTGGAGATCTGCAAAGAGGAGTGGGACAAAATCCCTCCTGAGATGTGTGCAAACCTGGTGGCCAACTACAAGAAACGTCTGACCTCTGTGATTGTTAAAAAGGGTTTTGCCACCAAGTAGTAAGTCATGTTTTGCAGAGGGGTCAAATACTTATTTCCCTCATTAAAATGCAAATCAATTTATAACTTTTTTAACATGCCTTTTTCTGGATTTTGTTGTTGTTATTCTGTCTCTCACTGTTCAAATAAACCTACCATTAAAATTATAGACTGATCATTTCTTTGTCAGTGGGCAAACGTACAAAATCAGCAGGGGATCAAATACTTTTTTCCGTAACTGTAGACTTTAATAATAATAATTCACAACCCTTTGTCAATTCACTGTTGGATGAAGGCCTCCCTAGGCGTGTTGATCATGAGGGTTGTTCGACCATACTTCAGCACCCTTGGCAGTGTGGGTTGATACAGGGGGTGTTCCGAACTAGTTCAAACATCATCACCAATGAGAGCAGAAGATGCTGGAAATTTTATGTAAATACAGGGTAAGTAACTTTGAAGTCAAGATTATAATGTGGCAGGGAAACAAGTGGATGTGATGGGGAAGAAGAGGCTTACGATGGATGGGGCGCATGTGCCGGGTGGAGGAGGGCAGGAGAAGGGGGCATTATAGTGGCACCCAGAGGTTGGCGAGCAACGGGAAGACCTCAGGCCAGATGGTGGTGGTGAAGAGACCTTAAGAGGAGCTATTGTAAGTCAGGTGTTGACTTACAGCAATGGTGGAGTCGGCTAGCCGAACTGGGGGTCATTTACAATTGTACTTGCGTTGTTTGTTAATCGGTTGAGATAACCGTGTAATTATAAACTCAGATTCCAACAATGCTTCTGGGATTGTAATTATAATTGTGAGGTTTTGTAGCATGGGGCGTGATTGTGTCTCGGTGTTGTCTGTGCATGCCCGCTGTGCACAGGAAATCTGGGACGTGTGGACTGCATTTCGGAGGCTGAGTACGACCTGTTCATGCGCCCAGACACCTGCAACCCGCGGTACCGCGTCTGGTTTAACTTCACCGTCGGCAACGTGAGAGCAAATCAGGTGGGGTTCGTTACGACGCTGAGGAACACCTCGACGCAGACACCGGCTCTGTGCCACCAAATGGGTATTAACGCCACGAAACGTTCATCTCAGACTCGGGACTTCCTTTTAGCTGATAGGGCCCCATTGAGCAGCTAAGCTGCGGAACTGAAGCCTGACCAGCGCCGCTGCTAACCGTGACAACGAAGCGGCGGCATTCCTCCCCGAGTAAACGACGTCTTCATTCATTCCCGCAGATTTGTGTCACGATTATTTTGGTGGGATCAACATTTGTTGGGTTCAACTTCCCCCCCCCCTGCCCCCCCCCCACCAGTTAATGATAACAGACAGGCAAAACATGATTTTATCCATTGGTGATTTATTCCCGCGTGTGTGCTGTCGGCGCTTCTGAAACGGTGGCATCTTGAGGGTCTGATCACTTGGGATTCACAAAACAGTAAAATAGTTTGGTAGGTGGAGCTAATATGTCGCATTCTAATTTACTGTTCTAACATCCCCGGCCATAATGTTAATGGGGTTTAATTTCACACCTTGCTAATTACATTTACGACGGTAATGTTTAATGTCGGGTGTTGTTCATGTTATACCGCGCTGGACTTATGATCGAGACAACTCGTCATCCGACTGAGTACGGCATCATCATCACCTTCATCACCATCATCAACATAATCATCATCACATTCATCATCATTGCCATTAACGTCATCACCATCATCATCGCCATCATCATCAACATCATTACCATCATCACCTTCATCATCATCATCGCCATCATCATTATCGCCATCATCACCAGTAGTATCGTCAACGTCAGTTTTATTTCAACTCTAGCAGCAGCATTATTGTCACTGTCATCATCAACAGCATCATAATTACCAGCAGAATCAGCAGTAGAGCATCAACATTTGCATCTTTAACTAAGAAGCATTATTGATATTAACGTCAGTATCAGCACCATCATCATGAGCAAAAACGCGATTGTTCACAGAAGTATCGCTTTTGCCAATAGGGACATCATTATTTTCATTATCAGCAGCATCAGCAGCAACATTGTTATCACAATCATCACCAGCATACATTTCAAAGCCTTCAACAGGAGGACGACCAGTGTGCATATTAATGTGGAATTGTTGACAATGGCTTGGGGGCACCTATGAAGGTGCACAGCACCTCGAAGACTTTCACTGAGGCTTCAATCAATACCTGGATGCAGTATATGAAATACAATCCAATGAATTGTGCGAATTATGCAGACATGCATACATGTGTAGTGAGTCCAACTGAGTCGCAGACGTTATTCTTTCGAGGCAACACATTTATTTAACATCAACACCTTAACACAAAGGGGTAACCGCCTCTTTACCAGATACAGCCTAGGGTGGTGACCACCCAGCTAACTACACTCTACGTAGGAGTTACAGCAACGAAGGGTCGGACCCTCACCCGGGTCCCTGACCACGTGTTGATGCCTCGTAGGACGTAGAGCTTCCAGCTTGTAGACGTGGAGCTTCCAGCTTGTCGAATGCAGCGACCGCGGTCCCTCTCAAGGACCCACCCTATATCCTCCCGGGTCGGGGCCGCTCCGCCCTCGGCCCCGCCCGCCTTCTCAAGCGTTCTAGCTCCCTCTCGATCCCCCTCGAGAGCTCTCCCTGGACACGTGATCACCCTCTAGCCCCCCCACATGGGGCCTTCTCTGTGGACACTCCAGATCACGTGCCTACGGTGTCAACCGGAGTGCCATGGCCCGGGGCAACCCTGCCCCTGGGCTGACACTCTCCCACTCCCCCTTGAGGGAGCTCGCACTACTCGCCGTGCATGTTGCCCGCGCTATCCCAGCGCTCACCAAGCCTCGCTAGGGCTGGTACTACACCCGCAATGATGGTGCATCGCGAGCCGTGCTGTGCTAAAGCCGGCATCACACAGCCACCACCCACACGGTGCTGTCCGCGATGTAGGGACATCGCACGCCACGGCCCTCCCGGTACGGCACCAGACAGTGACATCCTCGATGTCACTACAGATGTAATGATGTTTGCTTGGCACAGAAATATAATTTGGAAGCAACATTAGCGTTAATACATTTTCTGTTATCACCTTACCAAAGACAGATAGTCATAATCCCAAACGATTCCTTGGGATTTGTTAGCAACCTTCTTGCTGCGCTACCACCTACCGCCACCAACTCGCAAGGGTGATTGTTTCTCGCATAACACCGACTGACCTGCCAACCTGCCAACTCCAAGCACCTTCACCACGATGAAGCAAACGATGCAAAGGACATCGGCCGTAAGCCGGCCAGCCGGCCGGCCGGCCGGTCGGCCGGCGGGGGTCAAGGATCGTCGCCGCTCGTAATGCTATTCCGAAGCGTGCACTTTAGATGTCGCGGTCAAGGCGGGTAGAGAGTCGCTTTACAGTCTCCACGAAAAGTTTGCGTGGATAAAGTGATTCGACTGGTAAGGAAATGCCACTCGTTTGAAGGTTAAACTGCCAGGCTGTGCGCATGCCACATTTCACTCTGCTGCCTCGCGCGCTTGTGTGTGTGTGTGCGCCTTGCCGTGCCGCTCGTTGCATTCTGATTGTGCATTTATGTCTCGATGCTGTGTCCACGGTGAAGGTTACGTTTTAAAATATGTGTGTGATTATTTAGGCGCCTTTGTAACAGACACCAAAGAAACAAATTCCCGGCGGAATAGCGTAATGTGAGCTAGAGGGTACTGTGATGTACAGTGTTGGGGATTTGGCGGACAGCCATAGAGGTCATCAAGAGGAGGGGGAGAGGTGGGAGAGAAGGATGGAAGGTGACAGCTACGAGGGAGAGGGGTGGACGTTGACGAGGAGTGCATCGTGAAGATGTCAATTTTGTCATAAGCGAGTTAAAACTGATCACGTACACGTACGTCGTCAGATTGTCTTCCGATTCCATTCCGACGACGTACATATTCCAATGACGTATACGTGCGTATTCGGAATGGAACCGGAAGAAAAACTAAAAGAAAATAACTTTATTGGTACCGAGGCTCCCACAGGGCCATGCGGGAGGGCGTGCGGCACAGTTTGGCGCTAGGTATCGTAGAGTGCGGTTGTGTCGCTACGGGTCTCTGCGGTGAGTCTCTTCACTCCGGATGTGATCGTTTCCGCAATTGATCGCTCTGCACTTGTGAACATCTTCCAGTTCGTGTGATCAGGCTGTTGATTTAGAGAACCGCACGTTGCCCGCCATCCTCGATGAACTTGCACACGACATGGCATCGTTCAAACGCTCCTGTCCCTGGTTCGATGATGATGATGAGTACGTATGTAGTTGTGTTGAACTGCTCTCGCGGTGGCGAGATATTAACTACCTCGCCTGGTATACAGGAGGTCGTGGATTCGATCCCGACCTTGACGCCTGCTGTATGTTTGGTGTTTGCGTGTCTCTCTTCCTGTGGTCGCATGGATTCTTCTGCGGGTCCTTTGGAGTTTCCCTCCATATTTATAATCAATGTGCGTTTAGAGTATTTGGATGCTTTAAATTTCCACATGATGACAAGCCACTTCTTTGCGCTATTATTTGTGGCCAGGTCGTTTCGAAAAAAGTAGTTTAGTTTATGTCTTAGTCAGGTCTTAGCCTCTCTTCACTGGCTAATTCCTATCGAGTTCAGGGTGAAGTTTAAGATTCTCTTTCAGACCTACACGACTCTCGAAAGTGGCCAACCAACTAATCTCACACATTAGCCGACCCCCCCCCCCCCCAGGAAAAACCACCCCCCCACGCCCCCCCCCCCCCTCAGCCACCACCACCACCTCCCACAGCTGTGGAGTGAGCGCCATGCCCAGTGACGCGCTCGTGATTCGGAGACAATTGCCGCCGTGGTTTGAACTCAGATTGGCCAACAATTTCCATTATTTCTTTATTTTGTGGTGTACAACGTCCTTCCATACCTGGTAGAAAGGCACTAATATATACGTCATGTTTCATTATTCCTCAGGTGTAGTGGACTCGGTGGTCTCAACCCAGCGTGTGTGACTAAGTTTATTAGCCCCATGTCGGGTGGTGGAGGGTGTACGACACGCATCGGCGGTGATGCGGGCCGAAACTCAGTTACGAATCGTGAAAATCACCCAGGCCTTCGTAATTATTCACGCTCTGAGAACTCGTGAGGCTTTTGCGAGACAATGCACACTCTGGTGCGTTATTCAGTGCCAATAGCGTGATCGGCCAATTCATTAGAAAAGGTCCAAATAAATTCCAGAATCGGTGGTGCCAACCGACACCCCTTCAACAACCCGCAATGACCAGGACGGTGAAGTATGGTCAAACAACCCCCATGACCGACACGGCACTGCCGGAGGTCTGCGTCCAACAGTTGAATGGCAAACGGCTGCAAACATAAAACAAAACACGTTTTTGCAAAACATTGATGACTACATGGTTCCATACTCTTTGGTTCTTTCGGTAAAGTCACGTAGGTAATAAATAAATAATAAATGAAATAGAAAACAGCTACATTTCCCTTCAACGTGACTTTACCGAAAGAGCTAAGAATATGAATTACTGCAGTCACGAAAGCTTTAAATCAAAATTTAACTAAATTCATTTGTGTTTCTAATCTATTTATTTATTTATTTTTTACCTGCGTGACTTACTGAAAAAACCAAAGCGTATGGATCCTTGCAGTCACGAAAACTTCAAATCTAGAATTAGATGGTTCCATTTTAGAAACGTGAAACATCGTGTGGATTAGCATATTGTTAACTCTGTTTTCTGACGTTTGGACACAATGTAGTTGTTACACAATAGAGCTTAACGTACTGCCTAGAGAAATGTTAAATACTGGCAGTACTTATGTATTTATATGCCTAAAGGCTTAGTGAGAATGATTTGTTAAAATGTCTCTAATTTGCCTTCTAGTGCCAAGGTAAACATCGCGTGCAGGGTCGGGGGAGGAATATGATTGACATCTTTTACAACTTGCAATGACTCATTATACCACGGTAATTGATAAGTGTTAATTGGATCT